CCATAAGAAAACCGCACCGGGGACCATAAGAAAACCGCACCGGGGACCATAAGAAAACCGCACCTGCAGTCATTCAGTGTTGCGTCTCTTTCCCATCCTCTCGAACTCCAGGCAGTTGGGGAAGATGGCTGCCCATCCTGAGCCTGGTTCTGATGGAGGTATCCTCCTGTTCAAATGGGAGTCGTTTCTCTCCACTGTCTCCAATGTGCTGCTCAGTAGGTTGAGACAGTTTCAACACAATCTGCAGCTTTTAGATGGATCACTATAATAATTATGCATTTTCTAACCTTTGCAGCTGTTTGGTGCCCTGAGATGAAGTCTGCTGTGAACTGGTGCTGTACATAAAGAAGCTCAGAACCACCACACCATCAGAGGCTGCTCTTCATGCTGATCTTCTGATCCAGTCCATCTCCTCACAGCTTCTGTTCTTCTAGAACCAGGCTGCAGAGCAGCGAAGAAGAAGAAATGCCCTCCTTTGGAGGTCAAAGCTGAGGAGTCGGAGCAGAGATGCGGGATTCCCCCCTCCTTCCTCACGCAATGAGGCGGGACACACCCAGCCGGAGAGGAAGGGGGGAGGAGAAAAGGAGCAGAGCCTCCTGCTCATCCTAGGAGGTGACGTCAGCACGGGTCTTCACGCGCCACACTCCCGGTAATTACAACGAAACGCACCCGGTAACGATTTTTACCCCCCAGGCCTGAAAGCCTGTTTACAGTCTGAGAAGAAGAAGTGGAGGAAACGGTCCAACAATCCGAACCGGCTGACCCTGCAGGCAGGAGGATCCATCCCAGAAAGCCAATCAATCAATCACCAGAAAACCAATCAATCACCAGAACCACGCCGCTGTAAAGAGACGGTTCCGCTCAACAAGCAGGGTCCACTTGTGGAAGAGCGAACCTCCTGTTGGGTTTTTAATTCGGAAAAAGCAACGAGGCGGGTTCAGGCTGGAGGCAAACTGTTTCCAGACACGGAAAAATGCGCAGCCGGGTCTGGGTTCTGCAGCAGAACCGAGCCCCGGGAGAACACAGCCATTTTATTGATTTCACCCCTCCCTCCCCCAACTTTACTCCAAGTTTCACACGAACCGGTTCAGTCCGTTTACGGTACCGATGGTTCCGAGGATGCCTTTGGTCGAAAAGACACGTTAACCGTCCGGATCGAAAACGACAGAAAAAAACCACGAATAAGAAACAAAAACTGCCGAGGTTTAAACAGCCAGAGCTGGTTTTAATCCGCCACAACCGGACCAAAAGTAGCCCCGAACCGGTGAGGCGCCGCGGTAAGACCGGAGAGAAACCCGGAATATGTGCCCGGTAATGAGTGGGTGTCAGCCGTGCACCGAGCAGACGAGCAGTAACGACTAAATTCGGTAAAAGATTAAAAGCCCGCGTTGAACCGCGTCAGCTACAAGTGACCAGGAGGGAAACGGAAAGTTGAAGAATCCAGAGATTAGACGCGACCTTTTTTTCCCTCTCCTGGTCCCAGAAATCACGTCCCGCGGCTGCTCGCGTGTCGACACGGCAGGACGGAGACTTCACCAGGGCTGGTCCAACTCCACCCAACAGGCTGGCGAACAGAACCGACCCGGACCGGACCGTGAGGGGGTGGGGGGGATTAAAAACCTTCAACTTGTTCCTGCCCCGACCAGCACCAGGTTAGCTGCAGTAAATCTGTGAGGAAAGCCCAACAGGCTGGTCCCGAAATGACTCCCTGAGGGGAGAAAAACACGAACTCACCCTTTTCTCTCTCGCCTTCCCTCCCTCTGCCTTCTGCGGGTAAAGCAGGTCCAGATGGCGGTTCTGCTCCTGTACCGAGTCGGGTCCGGGCGCTGTGTACTCCCCGGAGCGGTAAAAAAAAACAAAAAACTGACCCCGACCTTCCGACCAACCGCTGCCCTCGCGAGCCGAGCGACTGGAAGTGAGCGAGCGCGTGCAGAAGAGCTCGGGAGTGGGCGGGGCCAGTGCGGGCTCACCCCCGGAGTTTTTTAAGGTGGACCTGAAAGTGTCGGAGCGCCCCTGTAATCGGACTCTGCAGCGATCAGAACCGGTCCGGTTCTGGAGCTCCGCTCACCGTCAGCGGGTGCAGCGCCCCACATGTGACGCCAAAACTGTAGAAGAGACAAGAAATCCGCTGCGGCGCCTCCTTAGGGTCACCATGGTAACCACACACCTGGGTCCGTCACTCCCCGACTGCACTCTTAATGCCACAGGCAGACACAGCTGAGTCTCACTGAAAACTCTTGAAGCTTTGGCCATCCTACAGCAGACTTTTACGTTTTTTTAACTCCATTTGGACTTTTGTGAGACATGGAGGGCGTAAAAAGAGCGTCACTTCCTGTTTGGAGGAGAAAACTGATGGTGGAAGTCCAGGAGAGTTTGGGTGTGTGGCCTCTGACCTCTGGGGAAATCACATCCGACCTCAAACAGGAAGACAGAAATATTTACATGATGGAGAAATTGTAGAAAAAGAGGAAATCTGTGAGTGTAAGAAGAATTTGTAATAAAAGAAAATTCTGTGGAGAAATCCTCCACGCTGTGATTAAAGATGTGGAAACATCAGTCAGGTGAAGTCCAACTTTGTTGACCTGTCTAAACTCTGAATGATGGTTCTGCAGGTCCAAACAGGACTGGGTTTAACAAACAAAAATACCATTGTTACGAGGAGACGTCAGTTTTTTAAGCTTCCAAACTCTGAATTCCTCATCGAGACACATCTGGTTTATTTTTGTTCTGGTTTTTCCACACATTTCATAGAAGTGACAAAAACTGAAAAATAACGAACAAACAGACTAAAGGTTTACAACGCATGCACCAAAACACTTTAAATATTTATTTTAATGCATTTATTCAAAACTAAAATGTGCAGTAATAGTTTGAAATAGTCCAAATTTCGCACTAGAATCATGCGATTGCTTTACTCAAGTAAAACTAAAGTAATATTTTTAAGTAATTTTAAGTAAAGTAAGTAATATTTTTCTTTGTCCTCACATTTTGTCCTCTATCTATAAAGATTTAATGCTTTGGACCAACTCTTTAAATCTGGCCTCACCAACAAACATTCAGTTTGATGAATATGGTTTGTTCCTTGAAATAAATAATTTCTTCTGCACTTGGAGCTGTTGATGGTGTGCGCTCGTGAAGTGGAGCTGATAAATGTCCTGAGCTGATAAAGTTTGTGGGAGTTGTGATTAAAAACAGCAAACGCTTCGCTCTTTAATGAAAGTCGGGTGTTCATTTATTATTTTCTGAAACAACAATCCTCAGTTCTGCAGAGAAGAGTTAAATAAATCAAATGATGATACAGAATACTTTCTGCTTCAGATGGGTTGTCTTGTTTACTTGGAATTTTAGGTAGTAATACATAACGCAGCAAAGTACTTGTAAGTACTTGTAAGTACCAGCACGGACGTGGCTGGTTCATCCTCAGTACCAGTTGCTGCCTATATACCCAAACTGGGTAAGTACTGGGTAGTTTGCTACCACTCTTTATTTTCAAACATCAGTTTAACACTGATTTTTTCATTTATACATTTTATTTTTATTTTTGCAGCTAATTTAGCGTCAGAGGTTTCAAAGAGTCTAAAAATGCGTACTTGAACAGTCAGCTGGTAATGACGAGCGTGAGTTTGTGATGTTTGACTGGAGGATTCATCAGAAATCTGTGATTTATTTATTTGTGATTTAGCACATCTGTCTGATGTGAAGTCATGAAATATGGAGATTACATCATTTTTTATGAGAGATGGAGGTGTACGTTGATGAGAGGCTCCTTTTTTATTTTATTTTTTGCTGGTGCTAACGCAGAGCAGGAACAAAGAATCTGAAAAGAAATTTCTCTCCAACAGCCAACTGGCCTCTCAATCAGCTCTGCCTCCCACGCTATGCTAATGACAGAGAGGTGGTTGAAGCTGCCACTCAGCAGCACATTACACGGCCGATCCGCAACAACAGCTGACTGCAGAGGAAGGAGAGCCGCTCAGAGTCCACATCATGGCTGGGATCCAGGCCCAGATTCTGCCCCGCTTCCTTGGAGGCGCCTGATGCTGCTGGTTGGACCCGCCACCACGGTGCTCAAGTGGAGGTTCGGCTCTCGGCCTCTTCAGCTCACTGTTGTCACAACACAAGTGTGTATCTAATGTCAACACGTCCTGCCGAGTCCGTGGGAAGGCGGCTGGGCCGAGACGAGCAGAACCTGGACAATCGGACCGAAAGGCGGATCGACCCCTTCACACAAAAACTGCTTCAAGCCCAGATGTTGCCGTTTCCCCAACGAGGGAAATGTTTCTGGTAATCCAGAATGCAGAGATGGTTTTATAAAAACAAAACACCCTCAGTGGCAGAAAATATAAAAATATCAGGCCAAAGAAAGGATTCACGAAGAAGAAACAACAGAAAAGTAAAAGGAACTGAAAACCTGAGGTCTAAAGTTCAGCCGAGGACAGGTGTGGCTTTCAGTTCCCTGAAACCTGCTGGGGAGTGAAACCAGCGTTCTGTGGAAGAATGCATGTCGTCTTTCAGGCCAACAAACCTAACAAACTGTGTGAGACATGAGTCCCATGGAGGGGTCCCCTGTCCTTTAGGGAAGCCTCTGTCCAGTAGAGGTCCCTCTTCCTGGAAGGGTCCCCCATCCTGTAGGTGTTCTCTGTCCTGTAAAGGGCATCCTGTATGGGTCATCCATCCTGTAGGTGTCCTCTGTCCAGGGGTCCCTCATCCTTTG